ATAAATAAAACCAATTATCACAGTCTTCTGTATCAAAAACTACATTAAAATGTGATAAAGTAGAAAACAGGAGCTCACTATCAGATAAATATGAGAAACAAAGAGAAGAGGGTTGAATACAGAAAGAATGAATACAGAATCCAATGCCGCTTATCGATTATGGAGCGAAATCTGCTTTTCGAGTTTGCCCCCAATCTCTGCCTGGATCACAGGAAAAAGATTTATGCCGGTTTTCGAGGCATTCACAGCCAACAAAGCTTTGACAGTTTCTTGTACTTTTTTTGGCCTAGGAGCGTATCAGTATTGAGTCGCATTTGTCGGCAGCAGAAAAAAATGGCCTTATCTCCCACAACAGGCACGCGAAGACCAATGCGTTAACACAAGGCAAACAAGAAGTTCCTTTATGGTTCTTGTGTCTCCGGTAAAAAAAACATGCGTGCGTGTTTTTAGGTGGCGCGAGTACTCTTTGGGTGTTTTTTGCAGAAAATGCTCTTAATAGGACAGAAGGACACTGTTACGCTAAAAGCAGTACCAGAAAAATAGTGACTAATGGAGAAACTGCCAAGGATCGATAGTTGGATGGAATGGAGAAACTGTCGAGGATCAGATAGTTACAGCTGTATCAGTCTCACCTTTCCGTGAATTTCTCAAGAAAACTCCAGCAACCTTCCCACTTTTCTCTGTAAGCAACTCTAATCATCCTAACGTTGGAAATAGCAGTACGTTGCGAAGCGGCGCTGTAGCGCTACGCTGTAGCGCTACAAGTCTGAACGCTGCCTTAGGATCAACTTCTACCGCCCGAATACTATTCGTTACCAAGCACGGCTCATGTGTGTCGCATAATCTCTCAGACTACAAAGTACTCTGTCAATTTCTTTGGTGCGAGGTCGCAAACTACGACCAACAGCTGAATCAGCAGTTCCTCTAGGTATTTGCAAGCATATGATCCGTGACAAAGCCTGTGCATACGGTGAGCTTAGCGCGGTGGGCACTGTATGGAAAACTAGCAATAAACTGGATTTTGTATCGCCCACAGCCAGGGTACAGCATCGTTGTGCGAAACCCATAGGGGGGGTCGTACTTGGCCGCT